CTCCAGGGCCGACTCATAGGGCCCCTCGCTGTCGGAGTCTGTTTGCAGCTCCAACGGCTCCTGCTGGGCCACAACAGCTTTCCATCCTCCTCTCCCTTGAACAAGGAAGCCTGGGGCAGCCCCAGGGCTCCGAAAAGAAGAATACTCAAATAGCAGTTAGACTTAGCAATAGCAGTTAGACTTATATACCGCTTTATAGGGCTTTCAGCCCTCTCTAAGCGGTTTACAGAGTCAGCATATTGCCCCCCCACAATCTGGGTCCTCATTTCACCCACCTCGGAAGGATGGAAGGCTGAGTCAACCTTGAGCTGATGAGATTTGAACTGCTGAACTGCAGATAACAGTCAGCTGAAGTGGCCTGCAGTACTGCACCCTAACCACTGCGCCACCTCGGCTCCTGCCCACTTCCGTACTATCCGACTCTGGCAAAGCTGGACGGGTGGCTGGCACCGCTTTGTAGCCCATTTATACGCTGTCCTCGAATTGTGACCCTTTAGGGAACCTGCCCATCATGGTCCTAAATTGGAACACCCACATAACCAATAGTTTTTTTTTTATTCTTCCAATTAAATTACTTATTTATTTTTGTTACCTAACAAACATTCCTTTTGTGAACAGAGTATTGTCTGAAATCCCCCTTTAACTTTCCCACCAAAAGACATCACTCATTTTGCATTATACTTCCCTTATTTCCAAGTTTAGCCGTATTATTTTCCTTCTTCTGTTTTCCAATTTTGAGTTTTTAACGTGTGCAAACCATATAGTTTTTTTCTTTCTCCTTCAAAATAAACAATTAATCCGTTCTTTTCCATTTCTGTTTTCCATTAACAACAGGAACCTTCCAAGTTTCAAATTTCAAGTTTGATACAATCAACACGACATAATTATTTATCACCTTTAAGGTTCTTAATATAAATTCCCGCACGTTCTAATTCAAACATATTTTTTTACCTTGTTAACAATCTCTTTCTACTGGATCATATCATTCTGCTCTTCTCCTATTTTTTTCTTCTCTCTTCTTTTTACCACATAACCAACTTGGTTTTATGCTATTTCGATGGTGGGACACTGCCAACAAATGTAAATAAGGCCCAAAGTAACCCCCAGGGAGGTCCATCGTAACTTGGAATATTTGCTAAGTGACCAGTCATAAACCGAGGAGTGCCTATAAAAATTTGGGAGTAAACAGGTGTGTTTTATTACCTGGTCTCTTTCCCCCACTTCCAGGCCGACCTCATAACCGATCTCGGGGACCAAGGTTATATCGTATTTGGACTCATTCTCTTCGTTTGGGAGTTACTGCCCACTTCTCTGCTGGTGGGATTTTTCCGGGTGCATCGGCCGGCTCAGGATATGGTGAGTGGGACGTTCGGAGGGGAAGAGACTCTGGATTTTAATGGCGGCGCTGATATCGGGGGCGCGAAAGAGCAGGAGACTCTTGAAAGAGTGCAGAGAAGAGCAATAGAACATTCTATTCTATTCTATTCGGGAGACTAAAATATATGACGAATGGTTGCAGGAACTGGGTGTGTCTAGTTGAATGAAAAGAAGGACTAGGGGGAGACATGATAGCAGTCGTCCAATATCTCAGGGGCTGCCCCACAGCCATTTCTATAGATAGAAGATAGATAGGCAGGCAGGCAGGCAGACAGACAGACAAACAGACAGATGATGATAGATAGATAGATAGATAGATAGATAGATAGATAGATAGATAGATAGATANGCTACCCTTAAATTTCCAATTTAATAAGACAGACATGTTGGCACATCTGTGGAAAATCCCAAATCTAAAAGCTTCCTGGGATTTCACCCAGTTGAAAGTTCATGATCTTATCCCCACACCCATAAATCCATCATATGGTCCAATCTTCTTCAGCCACACCGGCATTTCCACCCATCTAATTCCGGTCAGATGCAGAGTTGCGGAGATAAAATATGACCTTGATTTCTAGAAAGGAATGACAACAACATATTCCACAATTCTACTCCTTTCTATTCCCCCTCCCAATTACTACACTAATGAAACTGCATAGAAAAATAATAGAGTGCGTGGCAGGCCAAAAATCCTAAAGGAATGTAACTGCAGGCCTGACAAGTATACATCTAATAACCCCTATGTTAATCCGTCACAAATGAGATCAATACCTTTGTCTAATAAGTATTTCTCTGGTTTAAAGATGAACCTCAGTTTGATTACACCAGGGACAAGGTTGTTGATCTCGGACCCCAATTCCTCTGTGCCTGGTGCCATGCTCTATGTCAGATTCCTGTTCGGTGAAGCAGAAATAAACAATAAACTACACAATTCTCATTGTGTATTGCTTTATCTTCTACACTCCAGCACAATCCGACAAACTTCTAGTGATAAGATATAGTGAGATGAAGTCAAGGCTGAAGCCCAGTGCTCCCTTCCACTTTTTAAAGCTTCCCATGACTCCACCCACCACCCATACATGCTCACAACGATCCCAGCCAAGCCACAAGCCATGTTGGTTTGCTGCCGTTCGTAGGTAGCCGTGCTGTGCTTTGGAATGGCAGAATGAGAGTCCCGGGATGGTGGTGCACCTCCCTCCCCTTCAGCCATACCCTGAACCCTTACACAGCATTCTCACCCACAAGCATCCAATGGCAAAGCACTTTCTCTTTGCTGTCTGGAAGTACAAAGGATGCTTCCAAATGACGTCTTTTGGAGTCAGAAAGGTGAAGGAGGGAAATTTTATGCCAACATTCAAAGTGCAGGGGCAGGTCTACCACAGGATAGGGAGTATCATAGTGGGGCCTCTACAGCAGCCTTCATTTCTCCAGATACACTTTGTTGGTGATGATGACAACGAGAGAGACATCCGTTGTGGAATCTACCCAAGCATTAATCCATAACTGGTTAGCCAACTGCAGAAGTTGCTGCGTGAACACAAGACTTGACTTGACTACTGTAACACGCTCTACATGGGGCTGCCCCTGAAAAGTGTTCGGAGAGTACAATTGGTCCAGAATACAGCCGTGTGAGCGATATTGGGTGTACCGAGATACACCCATGTTACACGCATCCTCTGCGAGCTGCATTGGCTCTCCATCGGTCTCCGAACGCGCTTCAAGGTGCTGGTTATCACCTTTAAAGCCCTACATGGCTTAGGACCCGGATATCTACAAGACCGTCTTCTGCCACATACCTCCCAGCATCCGATAAGATCACACAGGATGGGACTTGTCCAGGTGCCGTCGACTAGACAATGTCATCTGGCGGTTCCTCGGGGGAGGGCCTTCTCTGTAGCTGCCCCGGCCCTATGGAACGATCTACCCCCCGAGATCTGGACCCTCCCCATTCTCTCGGCCTTCCGAAAGTCTACTAAGACCTGGCTATTCCGGCA